GCTAACATGACACCGTTCTAACAGAAAACACATAATGCGCTCCGGCCGCAACAACAGTGTCTGGTGCTCGAGACCCCAACCTTGAAACAGGTTGCAAGGTGCATGTGTTGAAAAATTGTGAAACAAAAAAAGTTATCATCTCAACGCAAACTTCAAAAACGCGAATCTGACACCGTGCACATGCGTACTACGTGTTTAGTCTATAGGTTTTCGCATTTGAATATAAATGTGCACAGGCGTGTGTCTTTTTCTACAAATTGACCTCAACAAACTCCCTGTCTTGCCTTAGAAATTCGTAATACTGATTTTTATTTTATCGCTTTTTATAGTGAGCTACTGGAGAGATTAGAGATTGTTTGAAAGTAGGGTTGGGCATTGTTTGAATTTTAACGATTACGATTCCAATTTCGATTCCGCTTCTCGGTTCCTAATTTCGATTCCAATAAGGTAAAAAATAAAAACACGTAGATATCATTCACATCTAGTCTTATGGCAAAACGTTTGTAGCTGAACAAAAAACAACAGGCTATAACACTTACGTAAGGCCTGTGGTTTAAAAACACCATAGAAAAATAACTAAACTAATATACATTTCAAGCATTATTAAAGACACGTAAACACTCAGCAATTAAAAAAGAACAAATAAGCAATGGCAACCAATAGATACACCTGAACAAAGATATGATTGAAATAAACAGTTTTCAGGTATTTTGCAATAACACTGCACTTTATAAATAAAATATCAATTACAAATATAGTCACCAAAGTTATTCAGTCAATTTTCTCATTGTCTTCTGTAGTTTGATTAGTGTTGTAATCGAGACGGCAGGAATATTAGTGCTGTCGCTTTAAGAGTTGTCAAAGTTATACACACCTGCAGCGCTGAATGGTCTAAAACCACATCAAAATCACCTTTTGTGTGTGCACGCTTTCGATGTGTGTGTAGCTTGAATGGTTAAAAGTCAAATTAAAATGCTCATTAAGAGGAATCGAAATGATCCGATTCCTGATCTCAAGTATTTGATTCCAAAATTTGTTCCCAAGCCTATTTAAATAATAAAAAAAAAAATCAATGTTTATCAAATAAGTTTTTAATGTTTGATTTCTTTGTTATATAGTAATGTGGCGAATCCCTCAAAAACACGTCCGGGTTCTTTGGCATTAAGAAGGATATTTTTAGTGTCATTGCAACTTTGCATTTTTTCTCCTCTGTGCACATGTATGTTCACTTGCACTGACGTCCATCAATCTGAATGAATCCAGTGTGTTCATAGATTCCAGGTCAAGGGTTCGATTCCCAGGGAAAGCAAGAACTGATAAGAATGTAAATGTGTTCCTTGAAATGCAAAATCGATAAAAGCATCTGATAAATGCGTAAATGTAAACTTTCAGTTCATTTCAAATATTCGTTTTCATGGGCATAGAGCTGCTCGATTAATCATTAAAAGATTGTGATCTGAGTTCTGATCCAGAGAGAGCTGTTATCATGTATAGATATGAAACAGCTTCACAAACAGTCTTTTCAACTCACAGTATCATTAATTCTGTCTTAATCATTCAGATTATCACAGAAGAACTGAGATAAAAGTTTATAGTTTAGTTATAAACACTGATGTCTATGGTAGAGATCAAAATAGAGCAAATCACAATTACTTCATTACACCAGTAGGTGGCGGCAAGGGACTGATAAAAATGTATTTGTCGTTGAATCATTCATTCAAAAACACTGATTCATCCAGTAATGAAACCAGTGAGTCATTGAATAATTCATCCAAACTGATATTTTTTATAAAGTTATACAGATTCATTAAACATTTTTAAATAGACTACAAACAATAATCGTTTTGTCAGAACCTCTTGCACATGTTATTTTGTTTAGTTGTCTGTTTCAAACAGAGATCATGATTCTGAACAAACAAACAGTGATTCTCAGGTAATCCAGAATCGTGCCGCTCTACATCTGATCTGAACAGATGCACTGTGAACACGTCACAGGAACTACAGGCAGAATGGTGTTTCTGCCTATATGATGATCTTTAAATATTAGATTCTTGAAAAAGTAACAAATTCTTGAAAAAAAAAAAACCTTAATACTTGCAATGAATTTGCTGCATATCCAAAGAAGGATTACATGCCAAGATACTAGCATTAATATTTTGACTTTTGAGTCACCCAATTATGTGGTTGACACTAAAGGGCTTTTGTGCGTGTTATTTTCATAAACATGTCAGTATGCCAAAAATCTCTGCTTTATTTTTTTTTTGCAAAATGTTTTTTTTCTACAATTTTGAAAATTCTAGACATGAGGGGACCAAATACAGGCTAGGGGAACTCATATTAATGTTAAAAAACCTCAGAAAATTATAATTTCATGTCAGGGGACCTTTTTAAAGCCTTTAAGAGTAGATATACAAGTTAATGACCAATTTGTAAAACAATACTCAATATGTGAAAAAATACATAGTATGTAAGAACAACATGGCAGCTTTGGTGTCCAGAAATCTTCATGATTTAATGATCTTCATGATGCTAACCTCCACGATGTCTGTGCGTCAGGTTGACAAGAGCCCCGAGGGCCAGTTCACGCAGCTCATGGCTCTCCCGCGCGCGCTCCAGCAGAACATCACGGCGCTGGTGGACCGGCCCGGGAAGAACCGGGACGTGGAGGAGATCCTGCTGCAGGTGGCACAGGACCCGGACTGCGGATCCGTCGTATCGCAAGGTGACGCTACAACAATCGTGTGTGTGTGTGTGTATACGTTACAACAATCAGATCCTTGTGTGTGTGTGTGTGTGTATGTGTGTGTATACGTTACAACAACCAGATCCTGATTTGTATGTGTATACGTTACAAAAAACAGATCCTTGTGTGTGTGTGTGTGTGCGCGTTACAACAACCAGATCCTGTTGAGTCTGTGTGTGTGTATACGTTACAACAACCAGATCCTGATGTGTGTGTCTGTACGTTACGTTACAACAACCAGATCCTGATGTGTGAGTTTACGTTACAACAACCAGATGTGAATATCAGTGTTAAAGCCACTGCACATGTTCCAAAAGCCCTGATGTGTGTGTGTGTGTGTGTGTTTGTATGTGTGTATGTATATATATATATATATATATATATATATATGAAGAGTTCAGATGCAAAAGCCTCTAAATGCCATTTGAAATTTTCTTCTTGAATGATGATTTTTATCAAGCTTGTATATTTAAGTTCAGTAATTTCACTTAAAGGGTTAGTTCACCCAAAAATGAAAATTAAGTCATTAATTACTCACCCCCATGCTGTACCAACCCCGTAAGACCTTCGTTCGTCTTCGGAACACAAATGAAGATATTTTTGATTAAATTTGAGAGCTGTATAACTACCACATTGGCTGCCTAAGGGACTGCCTCTTGACGGCCCAGAAAGTCGATGAAGAAAATGTTTAAATATCCCAAGTGACTACCGTGGCTCAACTATATGTTTATCAAGCGACGCGAATACTTTTTGTGCGAAAAAACAAACAAAAATAACGAGTTTATTCGACTATTTCTTTTCTTCCTTGTAGGCCAGAAACCAGATTTCCTTAGATTTCCACGACGCATGCGCGAGAATTGCGATCTGCTTACACTACTTCAGATTCTCGCAATTCTCGCGCATGCGTCGTGGAAATCTAAGGAAATCTGGTTTCTGGCCTACAAGGAAGAAAAGAAATAGTCGAATAAACTCGTTATTTTTGTTTGTTTTTTCGCACAAAAAGTATTCGCGTCGCTTGATAAACTTATAGTTGAGCCACGGTAGTCACTTGGGATATTTAAACATTTTCTTCATTGACTTTCTCTTCTGGGCCGTCAAGAGGCAGTCCCTTAGGCAGCCAATGTGGTAGTTATACAGCTCTCAAATTTAATCAAAAATATCTTCATTTGTGTTCCGAAAACGAACGAAGGTCTTACGGGGTTGGTACAGCATGGGGGTGAGTAATTAATGACTTAATTTTTATTTTTGGGTGAACTAACCCTTTAAATAACAATTAATAGGTAATCATCATTGCCATTTAAGTGAAATTACTGAACTTAAATATACAAGCTTGATAAAAATCATCATTCAAGAAGAAAATTTCAAATGGCATTTAGAGGCTTTTGCATCTGAACTCTTCATATATATATATACACGTATTTGTATATATTTAATATTTAATATTTTCATTTGTATATATGCAGTATCAGTTAGATGTTTGGGATCGCAAGATTTTAAATATTTTTTGAAAGAGTCTCTTCTGGGGGCTGTTCCATAAACCAAGATTAGAGTATAAGCCAGGCTTATTTCGGTTAGTCAGGCTTATTTTAGGTAGATTCGGTTTCATAAATCAAGCGTAAAAAAGTTCAAACTCAGTTACCCCGGCAACTTATGCTGGCAAATTAACCTGGTCCGGGGCAGGCTAACTGTCAGGCTAAGTCTGAGTTCAGGCTTAACGTGCATACCATTTATACTCGCCTGCTGGTATTTCGATGTAATTTTATTTTACTTAACCACTATTAATACTTTTTTTTTTTTTTAAATAAATAATGTAATGTACTAACTTTACTAATAATTGTAAGAAATTATAAGGTATAAATACACTAAGAAATGTTCAAAACTTGTGTATTTAATTGGTGACTTCGTTTAATGAGTTTGGTAATTAATGAAGTATATAAATAGGGAGCTGAACTCGTTTCCAAACTTAACCATGGCGTGTCCTTTCATAGATGAGGTGTTGGATGAGGGAGCTATAGTCTTGCGGAGGGCATTTCAAAGAGAGAGAACTTTCAGAGACAGGTCAGACCCATTGGCATTAAATGACAGCTACCTGTATGAACAATATAGGTTCTCAAGAGATGGGATTGCATATATTTGTAGATTACCAAGCCCACACATATGCAAATAATTTGTTGCCTTTAAAATTTTCCACTGGCCCCTTAACTTTCTCCTTAGTTGAACAAACACACAGAAGTCAAAGTATTGAATGTGATTTGTCTTTATTCAGAGTGAATCTGCCTGTTAGGGGTGAAAACTCAAATAAATGTTGTGAATGATCAAAAAGGTAAAGTTTTTTTCTTTTCCTTTTTAAAAATGGTATTTCTACTTGCATTTTTCTGTAGCTGTTCTGAGCAACTTCCTCATCTTCAGTTTTTTATACTGGATGTCGATATCAATTGCTTCCATTTGTTTAAGGCGGTAGCGTTTTATACACTCCTTTTATGTTTTCTGGGTTATGTAGCAACATTTAAGTTATTTCATTGAATACTCTTGTCACTTTGTTTTCATTTCTTAATACTCACTTTGTCACATGTGGTCCCAGACTGAGAGGGCTCTAGAACAGTGTCAGCATCCTGAAAACACATTATGATCATTTTATCACACAAGTACACTTTTTAATATTCAATACAGTATAGCATGGATGGAACCTGTGAGTACTGATTAAACTCAGTTAAACTCATTATCTTGCATAACTGATTTAAAAGGTCTCATACTCACAGGCAACATGATGTCTGATGGATCCATAAAGCATACAGAATCTTCATAGAAAGAAAAAAATGTTTTTTTTTGTTATTTTTTTTTTTTTTACCAAAATGCACCATTACAGTAGCAAAAGTACCTCTACGTGACATTACTGCTATGATGTATTTAGGCTTACAATGCCCAAGGAAGGAGGAAATCAGTTAGTCATGACACACACCTTTTATATACTCACTCCTTATACTACGTGATATCATTTTAGATGATGTCGCCCCTCTATTCCCTCAAGGACGGGCCTCCCTTTATTAATTTCCAAAGCCAGCTCCTCTGCAGGAGTGAAGCTGGCTGGTGGTGGCCTTCCCCCAGTGCCAGCAATCTCAGTCTTCTTTTTGGTCACTGCAAAAAAAAAAAAAACCTGAATAGTTGTAACTTCAAGCTGGCATTGATTACATATCTACATACCATTAGATTTACTTACCATTCTGAACTATATTTTTATATTTTATTTTCACCTGCTGCAAGGTTCTTTTTCCTTCACTTAAGTTGCTGCTGAGTCAAAGCAATTAACGTTACTGTTATTCACACATAAACTTTGCAATGTATTGTGACGCACATTAAATGTTGATAAAGTATTTTAAATAGTTTACACCGCTACTTACGCATTGAGACGATCAGCAACCTTTCTCTCTTGCTTTATTTATTGCCGCTGTATTGCCTTTATTGGTGATGACATCTTTAAATTCTTCATTAAGTTTCCAATAGCAAACGCTGTTCCGTTGCCCTGAACATCGCTTTCTTTTGTTGCCATGGTAGCCCACAGTAAATCGATTGACCCATGCTCGAATTTTCAGAACTTTTAAAGAATGGCGTGTACGCGCAATTATCTAGACTATTTAAACCTGACTCAAATTAGTAAGATCATATGATCCTCAACTTACTGTTATGGAACCAATTTAAGCGCGGATGTTTAGCTCGGCCCATTCAAGTCAGGTTTTGGACTTTAATCCCCGCTTTTCTAAGCGGCTTTTATGGAACAGCCCCCTGCTCTCCAAGGCTGTGTTTATTTGACAATAAAAAACGGTAATATTGTGAAATATTATTCCAGTGTAAATCATCTGTTTTCTATGTGAATATATATAGTAAAGTGTAATTTATTCCTGCGATCAAAGCTGAATTTTCTGCATCATTACTCCAGTCTTCAGCATCACATGATCCTTCAGAAATCACTCTAATATGATGATTTAATGCCCAAGAAACATTTATTATGATTATCAAGTTTCTCAGTTATCGGTATCAACCAAAATTTCCATGTGGGTGCATTTGTAGCGTTTTCTCATTTTCATGGTGTTTATGTTGTTATTCATATAAGCACATGTACTAACAGTGTATCACTAGAAAGGTGTTTCAAACTTGTTTTTACCCTCGAACGAAGAACGTAAAGAAGTTTTCCGTGAGTATATCCGGGACTAAACACTGACGCCTTCTAATAAACGCATGAAGAACTTCAGAGCTGGATTTACTTGGATAAACAGCGTGAAATAAAACATTTCACCCGAGAGATTAATGAAAGGGCAAGCAAGCAGTGGTTTTACTGAGACTCGCCAAACTGGCCGGCTGGGTTTAGTCGGTGTTGAGTTTCTCCACGGCCTCACCCTCATGTCTCATTGTCATAATAACCGTCAGCGTTTTGCACAAACACCTGGCTGTCTCTCGGCCCTACGCTTAACTCCTGACTCTCCAGTATTAAGAGTTGCTGTAATGCATTTCAAATGCATATCATCTGTCAATCACTGTGAGAAACCTTGATTTCGGTGAAATGACCACTTCTGTAAATAAAATCATCTGTCAATATTTAGAATGAATTCCATAATTTAGTAAGGAATACTGAAACATGACAATATCTCACAACATAAATTCACCATACATTTCATTTTAAGTTCTTTCACTTTTCAGTTATAATACTTAAGTTGAATTTATTTATTCACTAATAACTTTTAAAAATGACAGCATGTCTGCATGCAGATGATTAGTAATTAGGGACGCACCGATATGGCCGATACCTATATTTTTTTATTTTTGAAAGCCGATAACCGATTTATTGGCGGATAAATCTAAATCCAAATTTGTATATTTTTGAGAGCCTGATTACAAAAACACAAGTCTCACCATTAGAAACCATAACCCAAACACACAATTATAATGTTCTAATTATAATATGCATCCGATATGACAAGACTTATGTTGTAATATATTTTCATTTTTTTTAAAGTGATTCCAATGAAATTTCAAGCAATTCAAACCCATTATATTGAATAGTTGCATCTGAAGGAAATAATACATTTATCAGCTTTAATATGTCAGCCACATTTTCTCGCCGTGCCGATAACGATAACAATAAAAATGAACATATATTGGCCGATACCGATATGGTGGCCGATATATTGTGCATCCCTGCTTGATATTCTAATTGCCAAATTATGATTTGTTATCATACGTAATTACACTGTTTTCACAGGAATCTCATCAATAGTGAAAACTTCCAGTCTAACTCAGAGTGCCAAAGGAATCGCAACTGCGGGTGAGAGTTCAGAGATCATAGGTCGACTGATCCTTTATTCTTCAGATGTGGGAAACATTGATGATCACTTGTGTGTTGAAAAAAAGCATTTGATTTTCTCTATCCTTGATCAAAAGTATGATATATATTCATGCCCTCAAAGCATAATAGAAGGATGTTTAGTTCTTTTAAATCTCTTTCTCTTTTTTTTTTTTTTTTACAATAGCAGATATTTTTATTATTATCAATTTGCTCATACTGTAAACTTTTCTTTGTAAAAAAAAAAAAAGGGAGCTGAAATCCTCCATGCTTTGATGTTTGATCTGTATTCTGGAGTTTAAAGGAGTAGTTCACTTTTAAAAAAACTTTTGCTGATAATTTACTCACCCCCATGTCATCCAAGATGTCCACATCATTATTTCTTCAGTCGAAAAGAAATTAAGGTTTTTGATGAAAACATTCCAGGATTTTTCTCCATAATAGACTTTACTGGTAACCAAACGGTTCGAGGTCCAAAAGACAGTTTCAGTGCAAACTGTTCAAAGGGCTTTAAATGAATCCAGACGATGAATAAGGGTCTTATCAAGCGAAACGATCGCTCATTAAAAAAACAAAAACAAAGTTTAAGTTGTATAAGCTCAAATGCTTGCCTTGCTCTGTTCTGTGATGCATGTTCGTGACTCATCCATCGAACTCATTCATCAAAATGAACAAATCTTTTTCCAAGTCAATTCGTTAATTTTGTTCGTTGAATCAACCAAATGACACGAAAAAAGATTCGTTCATTTTGATGAACGAGTTCGAACAGGAGGGTCATGAACGCGCATCACAGAACAGAGCAAGCCGAGCATTTGAGCTTATAAAACTTAAACTTTGTTATTTTTTTTAAATGAGCAATCGTTTCGGTTGATAAGACCCTTATTCATCATCTGGAATCGTTTTAAGCCCTTTGAACAGTTTGTAGTTTGCACTGAAACTGTCATTTGGACCTTGAACCCTTTTTGTTCCCATTGAAGTCCATTATATGGAGAAAATCCTGGAATGTTTTCATCAAAAACTTTAATTTCTTTTCGACTGAAGAAAGAATGACATGGACATCTTGGATGACATTGGGGTGAGTTTTCATATATTGATTCTACGATTATTAGTGACACACTGATGTTGAAACTTGTTTTACAGGTCTCTTCAAAACGGTGTCATACAGCGCAAGAAAGCTGCAGAAAATGTGGAGAGGCTGGCGTAGAAAACCCTCGTGACTGACAATTATTTCCAAACGCATTTCACAATAACTCATAACCGTGTCAAACATAGTAATATTTCCACAGTTGATATTTATTTACAGTCTAAGCATGAAACTAATGACTGGATCCATTCAAACTCTTATATTCCAAAGAAAATGTCAATAAAGATTTGTCTAAAAATGTCTTAAAATATTCTTGTCAAGTGTGTGTTTGTGTATTTGCGGACTTTCCCTTTACGTTGTACCTGTTGCAAGGACACGATGGCGTCACTCCCTCATTAGCATAATGTATGCTGATCTCATTCCCTTGACCTCGACCAATGAGAATGCTCGGCTCTCATCACCTGCTAGGAAGAGAATTCCATCATTCCAAGCATTCTTCCTCACAGCTCTCCTTCACACACACACTCACTCACTCACTCCTGGATTACCGCATCAAACCCTGGATCTTTCCCACTGGATTTAGCGCTGTTTGGGGGCTTTTTTTGCTCTGGATCTCTCATCGACTTTGTGATTGTGGAGATTTCAAAGTGGCGCTTCAAAGTGGTACGTAGTTTTGTTCTTTAAAATGCAAGAAAGAGTGGTTATACACGGAGTTTAGGGTCATTTCAGGAGCAGGAGTCGCAAATAAAGCAGCACTAGTACGGAAAGAGTCGAAGACAACAACACAACGCGGTAACACAACCCGAGAGTTCCAGAACATGCGAGGTCACGCAGTTTCATGCGACACACATTAATAAGTAACGTGCGAGCAATTGATAGTAAAACATTAATGACTGGCTTAAAACAAAAGCGCGCGACTAAAACCCAAACGCACCGCAAACATTATTGAGGAAACACGCGCGTGCGGTTGTTAGAGGCGCGTTCTCGTTCTGGGCGTCCACAAAGCGCATTCCCGAAGTTATAATTCCCATTGTAAAGTTGGGATCTCCTGTAGGAAGGGGCTCAGCTGTGTGTGTGTGTGGAATGCACTCTGGGAATGTTCAGTGTGGGAAGAGCGAGCAGTGTTTCAGTTCTCCACATGTTTGCGCTGTTTATTCTGGTAATGCATGAGAAAACATGTGGATTGTGACCTTCCCAGTATTTACTGATATAGTTTACCTCTGGATGCGTTGATGCGATGTCATGAAAAGAATGTTACATTCACGTGTTGCTGACTTTACAGGGTTAGTTCATCCAAAAATTAAAATTATTATTACTATTATTAGGCTGAGTTATTATTACTATCTTTTTTTCAGCCTAACTCAGAGTTTATTAAATAATATCCTGGCTCTTCCAAGCTTTATAATGGGATTGAATGGTGCCTGAGATTTTGAAGTGGATCATTCTTAACCATAATATACGGATCCAGGGGTTTATAAAGGCCTTCTGAAGCCAAGAAAAATATACACATTCATAACTTTATAAACTATAATAATCACTGGCTTGTGTTAACGGCCATACACAAGTTGAGCTCTGGTGGAAGAGTGACCTCTGACCCCACGCATGACCTCTGACCCCACCCATGACGTATGATGTAGGAGTAGCGTAAGCTCAGCTGAGAGTCGCTGCCTCTCACGGTTCAAACAAAAAACTCAAGCTCCTCCCACATTTTTCTTTAATAATGCTCCTTTTAGAAGTCTAATTCTTGACTGGTGTTTTGTTTTGCTCAATTCTCTGCGCTTCCATGTTCATCAATACGTCATGCGTCGGGTCAGAGGTCATGGCCGTTACTGGAAGCAAGTGATTATAGTTTATAAAGTGATAAATATGGATATTTTTCTTGGCGTCAGAAGGCCTTTATTAACCCCAGGATCCGTATGGATTATTGTTATGATGGACGCGCTTCAAATTCTCAGGCTCCTTTCACTCCCATTATACAGCTGGAAGAGCCAGGACATTTTTCTCATAATTCTGATTGTGTTCGGCTGAAAGATGAATGTCATAAACACCTAGTAGAAGATAATGTTCATTTTTGGGTGAAGTATGGCTTTAACGCTCTGGTTTTCCTGCGCAGGGTTTGGACCAGGATGGAAACGCCTCTGGATGTCTTGTCGAGGGCAGCATCTTTAGTGCATCAAGACGACGAGAAACGTGAGTCCATTTCAGAGATTGATCGGAATAGTTTGATTGTGTGTGTAAATGAATAGGTTTGGACCCAAAGCACATGACATAGAGACACCAGAATTACAATATTCATGATTCTGAAGATGAAAA